ATCTGACGCTTTCTTCTGGCCTCTGCTGACATCATACACATGTGGTGCACTTACACACATGCAGGCAAAATGCTCAAACACATTTTTTTTTTAAAGTGCATTTAAAAACAAAAGAGGAAAAGCTCCCACTACTCGTGCATACTGTGATTGTCAGAACAACCAAAAAGAGTCTACAAAGGACTGGAAACAGAATGTCACAAACCACTAGACACAAGATCAATATTCAAATGTAAGTTGTATTTCTCTGTTTTTGAAAGAGACTACTGGATTTTTTTAAAGCTCTCATGTATAAATTAACTACTAGGTTGACAGGAATCAGGAAGTCTGATAAGTATTGGTGAGATTCTAGGTCAAAATATACCCTGTATACTGCTGGTGAGTGTGTAGTCTGGTATAACTATTTGGAAAACAGTAAAGCATGATTTTATAAAGTTGAAATACCATATCTCTGAACCCATCAGTAGGTCTTAGAAGAAAGTCTACCACATCATTCTTTTCAATAGCAAAGAACCAGAGGCAACCCAAATGTCTTTTGAACAGGAATGCCGATAAACTGTGGAGTCTCTCAGTGGAGAAGCATACACAAGTGAAAAATAAATGACAGCCACAGTCAGTAGCATAGATGGAAATCAGAAACATGGTGCCAAATGAAGTGAGCAGGTCTTGGAAGACCTTGGAAGGAGGTGGAGGGTGCAGGGGTAGGGAGTGCACAGTAGCTGTATGAGCCAGGTCCTTAGACTGGGTACTACCATCTCATGCTTGCTTCCAAGTTACATATGTGTTACACATAATTTGTGTAGATATCAAATATTGTGTAAGTCTTTCCCACAGTTCAGCTCAGTTTCCTTGATAGAGAGTTAGGAGCAAACACCAGCAATCACATACTCTGATAAACATTATATTAAAGCAATTTTCTCTGAAAGCATTGAGTTCTACAGACCTCTTAGGAGCAAGGGAGTTCACAACATCACACATCACCTTCTGGGGTGCAGGGCAGGAATCGTTGCTCCCACTTTACAGAACAGAAAACTGAAACCCCAAGAGCTTAATATTTGCCGAAGGTCCCACAGCTAGTGAGGGGCAGAGCTGAGGCCAGACCCAGATCTAGCCCATCTCTGTCATCTTTCTATGGTTGCTGCTCCCTTAACCATTTGCAGAGTATTCCTGTCTCTTTCTGACATCTCGGTATTAAATGCCTAGCATGATTCTGGGCCATTTCCAGCAAAGCACTATTTATTTTCCTTCCTCTGAGGACAGAAATTATCTTAGTAAAACTTACCTTAGGGTATGTTTGGCTACACAGAGCTATACATCTCACTTACTAAGCACCATCCAATGCCACACGCCTCATAGTCTCTCCTCTAATAACCACTGAAAAACCCACAAGGTAAAGCTTTATCCCCATTCTGCTGATTTTAAAACAAAGCACTAAGGCAATTCCCAAGGTTTACTAAGACAGGCCACCTGGATTTGTCTCTGGGTATGCAAATGAAGGGAAGGAGAACATGAGGCCAGAGGTATCACCACATTAAAGTGAGATCAGAGGCTGGAGGGATGGGTCAGTGGGTAGAGCACTTGCTGTGTGTGTGCTGGATAGTTTTAGTGTCAACTTGACACACCTGGGTTGAGGGAGCCTCAATTGGGGAATTTCCTTCATTGGACTGGCCTGTGGCCATGTCCATGGGGCACCTTCTTGATTGTGAGTGATGTGGGAGGGCCCAGCCCACTGTGGATGGTGCCACCCCTGGGCAGGTGGTCCTGTGCTGCATAAGAAAGCAGGCTGAGCAGGGGCCAGGGGATCAAGTCAGTGAGCAGTGATCCTGGATGGCCTGTGCTCCAGCTCCTGACTCCAGGTTCCTGCCCTGAGTTTCTACCTTGGGCTCCCTGATGAACTGTGACCTGGGAGATGTAAGACAAATAAGCCCTTTCCTCCCCAAGTTGGTAGTGGTCAGAGTGTTTTGTCACAGCAATGGAGAAACAAACCAGAACACTGTGTAAAAATAAGAACTGGAGTCTAGATCCCCAGAACCTACTTATCCCAGGTGGGTATGGTAGCCTGCCTGTAGTCCCTCCCTGTAAACAGGAGGAAGAGACAAGGGATCTCTGGAGACAACCTGGCTAGCTAGACTGGCTGAATCAGCAAGCTCTGGGTTCAAATGAAAGATCCTGCCTCAATATAGAAGGTGGGGAGTGAGCCAGGAAGACACCCAGTATCAACCTCAGACCACACCCACACACGTGCTCAAACACATATGACCCCCCCAAAACGTGTACATACATGCACGCAAAAATAAATGAGATCAAATGCTTTTATGTGAGATGATGATGATGATGATCGTGGTGACAATGATGGTTATATGTGGTGAGATTTCATCATCCTTACTCTTACCTTTTGTTTTACCTAAGGGTAAGATGAGAAAGACAACAGCACAAAAGAATTCAAGCTGAGCACTAGGCATTTGCTGTTGTTGATTCCAAGCATAGTAACAGCCTGATATTTTTGATAAGAGGGTTCACGGTCTCTTGTCCCTGACAAGATACCATGAAACTGAGAGTTACTTGTCTTTGAGGGGCAGTTTGAGTACCTACCTGCCCCCGTGAGGACAGGTAAGTAGCACAGATAACTCCCAGCCCCTTCCCCCTTCACTAATGACTACACCCCAGTATCACAGAAGGGCGTGTACATATGACTCGGTCAGCCAGTGAACATACCCATCCATACCTGCCCTCTTGTTTCTTTTGTAGAAGCCAAGATCCCAGGTCCAGCTCTTGCCCACGCAGCATCCAAACCTTTCCCACAGGGTAACAGCACCCCAATTTACTCTGAGAAAATTTCCACAATCTCGGCCATCCAGATGTCCTAGGCAGCCTTAGACACAGGCCTGCTCAGTCACAGTTCCACAGGTGGCTGATCATAGCCTGAGTTCAGGGAGGCAAGTGACCCATACTGGCTAGCAGGGCCTGCCAATGTCCTCCTACTCCTGCTCTAGACAGCAGAGGCAGTCTCTCTGGGTAAACACTTAAGCCTGGAGCTTGCAGGGCTGCCAAACACAGCCTGCTCTGAGAAAGCAGAAGCTTATAGACCTCAGACAGGAAAAGCCAAGGCCAAGGCCCTTGGATCCAGCCATGTCTAGAGCTGGTATTCCAAGGCTTTTGAGTTAGGAAAACACACATTCTGTGTGCCATATTTTACTTGCTTTGTACTCTTTTGCGGCTTTTCTTAAGCCATTTGAGTTAGGGTTCTGTTGCTTGCAACACAGAACACAACCTTCTCCTTTAGCAGGACCTTCTGGGGTCAGAGGTCATTGAGGCCTATTCTTTCTTCTTGGCCTTAAGGACCAGTCCAATTGTACCTCCTTTGGGAGGCCTTCTTAGGTCTTTACTGTCTCCATTGGACCATCTCCCTTTGAATTCCCAAAATGCTTTGTTCTGAAATCCTAATCACTCATGCATGGTGTTTAATCCAATGCCCCTACTTCAATGAACCAATGAGTTCTAGTGCTGGCATTTGCTTTATCAAAAGCCAAAGCATCAACAGTGCCTAGGGAGGGTGTTTCATCATTAAAGATAAATCCTGAGAAACCTGCTTTTTGTCCCAAGAAATCTCTGAAGAATATAACAATGGAAAACTATCCTCTTGACTTTTGTCATGTTAAGGCACACAAGGAACATTACAACAGTGTTAACAGCACGCAGAGTGAGCAGGTGTGAACAGCCCAAGGGCTCAGACATCTGAAGTCCCCGTCAACCATCCTAAGAACCAAAGAGGACGCCCAGGCCCTTTGTTGCCGTGTGCCAGGGGGATGCTTGGGTCTGGAGGAATGCTGGGAGGTGAGGAAGGACCTGAGCCAATTTCAGCTGAGTCAGTCCTAGTGAGACAGGCAACCTGCCCTAGCACACAGCACACTCTTCCTCTTCCACTCTGGAACACAGTGCTTTTAAGTTATGCGCATTTGTTTTCGAGACCTGCCTGCCAAAGCTCAGCTGTTTGTGCAGAGTCAGGCTTTCTGGGGAGTGTGGCTCTGCATTCGTGGGAAGGACCCTGAGTGCCGCTGAAACTGTTTTGCTCTCTCCAGCAGACCCAGACATTCAGCCAAGAAACAAGGAGCCAGAAGGTCACTGGGTTGGAGGCGGAAGGAGGAGTCTTCATAGAGCTGGGCCAAAAGAATGCCATTATTTAAGAAATGATTGAAGACTTTCTTCAAAACGGACCCAAAGAGCCAGAACTCTGGGGGTTCAAGAATGCTGAGCACCCAGTTTGCAGATTCTTCCATTGACCCACTGTGGTCAAGCCAGGAGGGAAAGGATGGAAAGAGTTTCTTTTCTTTATAAATTCAGTAGCTCAGCTTTGTCGACAAGGGCAAAGAATTTAAGCAAAGGTTTGTTGCTGTGGCTCAAAAAAATAGCCTCATCTTCCTGTTTATCCAGTGCTTATTGCTCAACATTCTTGGACTTCGGATCCATTCACAGTCCAACAAACACTATTGACCCCTCCTCTATGCAAGGCAGGAGGTAAGGGTCAGGAGAGATCCAAAGACAACCAAGAAGGAGGTTTTAGTGGAGGGAGAAAAGGAGCAACTGTGGCAGAGAGATGGTGAGAAATGCCCACTACAGGTCCAAGCAAAACTCAAAGGTGGAAGAATCAACGGGCTACGGTGGGGATAGTAAAGACCCAGAAAGGCCTCCTAGAGGAATCACATAGGGCTCCATTAAGGACAAGAAGAAGGAACAGGGCTGGGTGTGGTGACACATGCTTTTAATCTCAGCACTCTAGAGGCAGAGGCAGGAGGATCTCTGTGAGTTCAAGTCCAGCCTTGTCTATATGGTGAATTCCAGGCCAGCTATGGCTACATAATGATATCCTATTTTTAAAGGAGGAAGAGGAGGAGCAGGAGAAGGAGGAGGATGAAGGGGGAAGAGGAGGAGATGACAACATGATTGATGACTTCTCTGTGGTCTCTGGCCTCAGAAGGGTCCCTGCTAGAGAAGGCTATGTTCTGTGTTCCTCTCCTCCCCAAATTCATATACTGAAGTCCTAATCCCTGCCCCCCAACTCAGTACCTCAGAGATTATTGCATTTGGAAACAGGGTCAAATGAAGACCTAATCCAATAGGACTGGTGATCTTCTAAGAGGAGAGCATGGACAGACATGAACAGAGGGAAGAGGAAGAGCAGACACAGGGAAAAGTGGGCCGGCTGCATGGTAAGAAAGGAAGCATACAGCAGAGCTGTCCCTTGTGACCTTCAGAAGGACTCAGCGCAACAGGCACCTTGACCTTGGAGATCTAGCCTCCAGAACTGTGAGATGACATATTTATGTTGGTTAAACCACCTTGTCTGTGGCACTGTGATATGAACACCTTAGCAAACACACAGTCTTCATATTTTCTCTCTCTCTCTCTCTTACTCTCTCTCTCTCTTACACACACACACACACACACCAGCTCTGAGCACCTCCCACACCGACTTCAGAGGGGACAGACTGATTTACCCTCCCCTCCTCATCTGCCCTCAGGGACCTTGTTGACTAGACCCCATTAGTCTGCATGGATTTGGAGCCCTGCATTCTCTTCTTCATGGTCAGAAGGTTACCCTGGAGTGTGACCCTGGCAAGTTGTCCCTGCTTGAGAGAGTCAAGGCCAAGTTCACACTATCTCCTGTGGTCTTGATGACTTTCTGTCCTGTTAACCATGTGTGGCTTGTCCTTCTCCAGTACCAGGATTTCCTGCCCCATTTTTTTTTTAATCTTTGAAGGGATAGAATGTTAATGTCAGAGTAATTCAATTTATAACTATTTATTGAGTTTTCATAGAAAAAAGTAGCTCTATTGCTTGCAGAGAAGGCCAAGCTTGCCGAGTCCATATAGTGGGTTAGGGAAGAATTTTGCAAACCCAGACTCTAAGGAAAGAGACCAAAGCTGATGCCAAGCTACTTTAAGGAGACGGTTGTTTTATGTCCTGACTTACCTCATCTTCACCAAATTTCTTAGAACATGAAAGTTAACATGGGGTAACAAGATCAGATACCCCAATGTCATCAACCTGATTTTTTGTATTGCTCACTGATTCTCCCTCCTCCTTCATGATGAATGAGGTTCTAAACTCTCCTCACAGAGCATCCTCAGTCCACAGCCAAGAAATGACATGCTCATGGTCTCTCAGTTTTTTAATCCAGTCTCTTTCCATAACATAGCACTTGTTTTGGCAATGAAGGCTCCAAAGACTAGGTTGATCATAGGAACATCACATCATGTAGCACCCGTTTCCAGATTTTTCAATTAAACTATATCTTTTCCCCATGAAGACTCCTGGACTCCATCGAGTAGAGCTGGCTCTCCCAAGATTAGTGCCTGGCAGCCAGGCCATATTCTCCACAGGAGCTGGCCACCCTCTGCTCACTGCGTCTCATTTTCTGTGGTCCCTTGAAGCAGTCCTCCTTTCAATGGGAGGAGGAGGTACAGGCCAGTTGGCCAAGTTTGACAAGGCTCGACAACTCCTCTAGCCATTGGCTCAGCTTCTAGAGATCTATAATTACCTCAGATCTCTTCTTTCAACACACTTTTGTCAATGAGACAAAAACTTGATGACTAAAACCCAATTGTAGTCTGACAAAAATATCAATTTTATCCTTCTAAAATTAAAGAAGAGGGGATCTTGGACACATGGGGCCCTCAAAGAACTGCTTTGGGAATTATGACAAGTGTTCTCCACAAGCTAGTCATAAAATGTTAATTCCCTTACCCAGAAAGTTCCCAAGAGGCTTACTGCTGTGGCATTTGGCTGGGATGCTCTGTTTCTCTCTTTGAATATGAGGCTGACACGCCCAGAGTCAAGACTTCTCTTGGTGCTAATCTGCTTGTGCCAAAGGAAAATCCTGACCCACGGTCCATCGAGCTTGCTCTTCCCACCCAGCTCTCCTGGAACTCCTCCCCTTTGTCCCAGGGAGAAGAGTGATAGGTGCCTGCCCCTCCCCTCCTGCTCTGGAGAAGGAAGTGGGGTACTTCAAGGTTTAAGCACAGCAGCATACAGAGACTTGGCAGACTTGGGCATCTGCACTTGGCCAGACATCCTGAGAGACTGGCTGGGATTTTGTCTGCTCTTTGGAGCTGAATAAGACTGAGATATCCTGGGCTGGGGATGTGGCTCAGTTGGTAGAGTACTTGCTTAGCATACACAAAGCCTTGGGTTCTATCCCCAGTGCCATATAAACCAGATGGGGTGTTCCCACCCAGCTCTCCTGGAACTCCTCCCCTTTGTCCCAGGGAGAAGAGTGATAGGTGCCTGCCCCTCCCCTCCTGCTCTGGAGAAGGAAGTGGGGTACTTCAAGGTTTAAGCACAGCAGCATACAGAGACTTGGCAGACTTGGGCATCTGCACTTGGCCAGACATCCTGAGAGACTGGCTGGGATTTTGTCTGCTCTTTGGAGCTGAATAAGACTGAGATATCCTGGGCTGGGGATGTGGCTCAGTTGGTAGAGTACTTGCTTAGCATACACAAAGCCTTGGGTTCGTTCTATCCCCAGTGCCATATAAACCAGATGGGGTGGCACATCTGTAATCCAAGCACTCAGGAGATGGAGGTAGGTGTTCAGGGTCATCTGTAACTATATAGTAAGTTTAAAGGAATCTGATCAGGAGGTCTGAGGTGGAAATTTTCCTAGAAATGTGTGTAATTATGGAACTCGCACACTCTTCATATCCTGGTCAATCTAAGTGAACTCCTGGCTTCACAAGGGGCATGTTCTGCTTGGCATCTGCAAAACCCCTCACATGTTACACAAGCAGTACTGGAGTTCACACGAACCAGGTCACATGTTACCATGGCAGCCAGAGTGGGGTGCATAACCACCCACTAACACCCCTTCCTCAGAAAGGCTTTGTGAAGGGTACAGCTCTGCTTCTAGCTTAAAAGAGAGCTCCGAGTAGGGCCTGCCACTAGTCACCAGGACTATGACTAAGTCACTGCCTGCAGTAGAAAGCCCCTGTCCCCAACAGCCACCCTTCCCTGCCATCGCAGCCCAGGTACACACCACATAGCTCATAGCACATTTCATGGGATGCTGTGCAATACTAATGGGAGCCAGCCTTGGCTTTGAGGGAGCTGGAGGGAGCCTTACAGACTGTAGTCAGTCCAGCCCCTCTCATGTGAATAGGAAGCCAGAGTCCCAGGAAGAAAGGAAACTAGACACCCACCTGGTAAGAGTATTGCAATGCTGACTAGATCTAGACCCCCTGCTGGCTTAGTTTTCAAATTCAAAATCTTCAAACCAATGTAAAAGCATTTTCTAGTCCATTGTCTGCAGAATAAAGGCCATGTAAGCTGCATGCTATGGAGGCTACACAGTCTAGACCCAGCCAATCTTCCTAGCCTTGTCTCCCATTCTAAGCCCATCTGCTCCCAAACTGCAGTCACACTGGGCATCATAAATGAGCAGGGACCCAGTGGGCTCACAGCCAAGGCTTGTCCCATATAATAATTCTGAATGTACCATGAACGTCCTCTGCTCTACACCTTCGCTCATGCTGTTCTTACTACCCTTCCCTGTCCTTCTCTCGTGTGAAAATCCTACTGAGACCTCCAATGATCCACTTAAAGACCAGCAGATCCCTTCCCAGTATGGAATTCACATTCCTCCAGAACACCCCTTTAGTGCCTGGCCCAGACTGCTCTCAGTGGTCACGTCTGGAAAAATTCTATTTATATGCCTGCTTCCCTTCTAGTCCCTCATGGAGCCTCAGCTGGGAGATCCCAAGGGCAGAGAGACTGTGTCTTGTCCATCCCTCCAACTTGGCAGCATCTTACACAGAGAAGGGCTAAGTGGGTGTCTGTCTAATGGATGCACAGATATGTAACACTTGTACCTCTGGAAAGCTACGGACCTCCTACTGGGGGAACCCAGTACCTTGTACCTTTCTTCTGGTCTCGTTTTGTTAAATTATCATTAATATGTGTCATGTTTGACAATTCCTTCCAACCCTCCTGACTCCTGCCAGGAATGCTCCAGGGCAGTGATGATGCCTAGTTAATCCTGTGTGCCCACCACAGACTCTAATGCATCGATGATACGTGAATGAACGAATCCATCAATGGTAACAAGTGAGGCCTGTGTGGACCACTATACCTGTGACACTGTCAATTTCTCCTCATTTGAATGATACTCACACTATTCACCATGTGTGGCTCCTCCAGTCATTCAACAAAGACTCATCAGACACTAGACATACAAGGTGAGTGAGACAGGAAGTTCCTGCTGGGCTAAGAGATGTCAAATACTCATAAACACCTATTTATCATAGTTATAGAGTGTGCATCCCACAATACATACAAGATGCTATAGTCACCCTAGTAGCCCTGTCATATTATATGCTTCATCATGGTCACAGTGGCCTCAGAGGACATGGCTCACTTGGCTCAGGTACAGAACATGTATGTCTTCCCTTTGTCCCCAAGAGGAATGAAACAGAGGTTGTGTGTGTGTGTGTGTGTGTGTGTGTGTGTGTGTGTGTGTATCTTTGCACTGCTTCACATAAATCTCCCTCAAATTATTATCCCCCCTCCCACAGGAACGGTGGAAGATGCCAATTTCAGACTGATTCCGGATGCGAAGTCTGTTCTGTCTGACCTCACTGATTCCTGGGGGATGTGTAAAGACCTGTGAAATATGTGGAGCTCATAAATCAAGTCTGGCTATATTTCTACAAATGTCCTAATTTGAAGGGGAGTCAGACAGCACTGAAAAACCCCTCAGAATCACCATGTCGGATGTCTCCAGAGTCTACCCCAGATGTTGGCTGCCTAGGGCAGGATTCGGCTCTGCCTGTCCCCATCTCCCCTCTGGCCTGGCTCCAACAAGCTGGAGGGAAATGGGAGTTCAGTCCTTGACATTTTGTCTGCAGTCTAGAGCGCTCTGGAGGGAAGGAATCCTGTGAATGTTCTTCCCAGGCCAGCTCCTAAGGAGATGGGCTGGAGACCCTTCCCCAGACACTCTCCTCCATGTCTAAGACAAGCAAGATCCTAAGGGTGGCTGTGAGCTCCCAGGGTACCCATGACACGTAATACAACTGAAGGGCACTCTCTGGAGTTGTATGAGAAGTGACTCTGGTTGTTGATGTGGATACCTGGGAGTCAGTGTCCCCTGCCCCCACTGGTACAGTCGCCCACAGGGGGGAACTGTGGAGATAGGACTCTGCAAGAGTCCATCTGGCCTAAAGGTTCGTCAGCACATTTTCCGTCAGTCCCTCAACTGCCCTGTATACACAATCCCATTTACTTGCTTTCATTCATTCATTCCATTCATCCATTCATTCATTCATTCCTGATGGTCACTTATTGAGAGCTCACTCTACCACAGGTTGGAGACATACAATGGATGCTGATGTAGTGCCTGCATCCCAGGAATCCCCCCACCAGGCACTCAACCCACTTTCTGAGCCTCCTGTCATGCCCTTCAATGTAAAAGATGGAAGCAAAGCACATACCTAGGTTATGGGAATCCTTGGTCTCTGCTTCCAGCTTGAAGCCAGGTCAGCTGTTGTAGGGAGGGTATCTGATGAGTCTCCAGCCCAGCTCACACTCCCCACCCATAGCCTGCCAGGTCAGGGCACTGTGGGGCCCATGTGTCCAGGCAGACAAGTAGCCCAAGAGAGAAGAGGACAAAGGTGCTCGAGTTGCTCTTTGGCACCGAAAAGGCTAAGAGTATCCCAGAGAAGATGTGAGAGCCACTTGAGTGTGGACTGAGCTCACAGATGGCAAGAAGAACCATCAGGCCCTGCTTAGTGAAAGTCAATGACAGATTGCATGTATTCGAGGTCTGACAGTTATAGCCACCTGGTGATGCTGGTCTGTGTATGTCCACGTTCACACAGTGACAAAGCTGACCGATGATGCACTTCTCAGAACACAGCCCCCTCTTAAGCCATATACAGCTGTGTTTGTATGTGATCATAAACTGAAGGGAGACCCCCCTTCCTCCTCAACGCTCCCTCCCCAAGCTTCCCCACTTGTGCTAAGCATCCAAAAAGCATGTGTGACTAGACAGCCACTGGTGGGGCTGCAAAGCAGGAGTGTTACTCTTACAATGTAAACAGCCACAGGCATGGGGGTGGGCAGTCGGCAGAGATGGCACATTGGTTAAGGGGTGTAGGCTAGACTACCAGTCCTATAGCATCTTCTTTGCTAAACTTCCCAATAATCCACACAGATAAGTATTGGAATCCATCTTGCAGACAGGATACTACCTACAAGGGTTCAAAGTCTTGACAATTACTCAGCAATGGAATGTGAATCCAACTTTGTGTGACTCTGAAGGCCAGGCTTTCTCTGTGGCATCACACTCTCTCCCACTGCTTCCTGGCATAGTAAGCCACCTACTCCAGGTCCTTCAGGAAATGAAGACACCATTTCCTTTTCCTAGCAGTTGGAATTAGAAGTTGGGCCTCTCAAATGGATCTGCATGAGGCTGTTGTTGGCAATATGGGTATGATTCCTTGTTTTTCTGGCCTTGCACACAAAACAAATGACCTGAATTCATATGATAGTTTTATTTATTTCATTTATTCTGTAACACAAACAGTTCCCAGGGTGCTGCTTCTTATATCACAGCTAGAGTGCAGGCAAGAATCGGAGATGCCTGGCAGGAATCGGACATGCCCTGAAGGTACCATCCCCACACACAGAGGAGTGCCACTGAAGACATGTACAGAAACTGCTAGGTTATCTTCAGAACCTATGTGGGTTCATTTCTACAGTTCACTAAATGTGTGTATTCAATCTACTTTTAGTAACAGAATTTTGAAAAGACATCTACAACTAGCTTTGAGCATAAATGAGAAGGTGGCATCACCAGCTTCCACTTCAGAACACTGGGGCGCATCTGAGGTCCCAGCTACATGACAGACTGAGGCGAAGGGACTGTTTGAACCCCAAGAGCTTGAGACCAGCCTGGACAACATAGTAAGACCCTCATTTCTAGCATGCACCTCCCACTAATTTCAAAAGCAAATTCTCAGTGGTCTCTCTGCCTGGACAGGTAACTGCACCCCTTGTCCTCCAGCAGGTACTTTCTGGAGACCTGGTAACACATTTATTTTGGCCAGAACTATCACAACAGAGCCAAATGGGTCTGCTCTGCTGTGAAGTCCATACTTTATCCCTCCTCTTGCAAAACCACTTTCCTTTCACATACACACAACTGACTCATTCCAGAATGGAACATAAAAGAAACACGACCAGACCAAAGAACATAAGATGAGAGAAGAAACTCGACCAGACCAAAGAACATAAGACCAGAGCCAAGAAAAACTTATAGGTCATTGAGAAAATCACCATGTTTGGCACTGGGGCTATGACCTGGTGTGCAAAGGCACCAGAGACTGGTCAGGTCCCAACAGGTGGAGCCTACCCAGGTCACGAGGCCAGTTAGTGCACTGTGTCTCACCAACTTGCCAGTGCTAATTACCAAAGCCATGGCTACAGAGGGCAAGGACAAGGCTCTCTCACAAATGCAGAATCGGCGCCATGCCCAGCAGATGATGTCACTGGTTGAAACACAGAAGTAGAGAAGAGTCACATCATCTCAGTTCAAGTGAGAGGGAGTTAACAGAAAATCTAGTCTGTGCTTGCATCTGCCCTCCCCCTAAAGATTTAGAATAGTAGAACATTCTAGAGTTGGAGGAGACTTGACATACCATCTGGTCCAAAGAATTACATGTGTACGTGCCAAATATCTGTCTTGCATGGACTGACTCCCTTCTCAGAACAATGATTTTAAACTACATAAAATAAAATTCAAAGGGTTACCAAGGAAACATATTGCATTGAAAAACAGTGATCAAAACATCTTAAAAGACAAGTGTGTGATATAATTTTACCTATACTTCTTTTATTTTTATTTATTTGAGGTGTGCATGCACACATGCATCTGCAAGGCAGAGGTCAATGTCTGTTGTGTTCCTCAGTCACTCTCCACCTTACTTGTTTTTGAACAGCATCTCTCATTGAACCTAGAGTTGACTGATACAGCTAAAGTGGCTATCAGCAAGCTCCCAGCATTCTACCGCTGCCTTTCCTGTGCTGAGGACACAAGCATATGCAGCCAGGCCCAGATTTTTCATCTGGGCGCTGGGGATCACACTTGGGTCCTCATGCTTCTACAGCAAGCACTTTACTGCCTGAATCATCTCTCCAGCCCCACATTCGCTTCCTTATTAGTGCATTAAATACCAAGATTGGGAAACATCTAATATTATCTACTAAAATTATGCAGTAGTGATAAGCATAAATGAAATTTCAGAGGCAGTTTAAAATAACTGTCCCAGCTGTAATGTGATATATAAGCACCTGACTCTCTTATTGATACGGTCAACACATCCTGCTAAGAGTCCCAAGGCAGGTTATCTACACATTAGATAGTAATGCTAACTTGCAATTAGAAGTTAGTAGGGGAAAAACATGAAAATAGAGCCTCTGATTTAAAGCAACAGACCCCAGATTAAGACCTCTAATGCAATACCATCGCATTCTACAGATAACACCACTTAGGTCAGAGGCCAGGTGACTTTCCTAATATCCCTCAACTAATAAGCAGTAAACCTGGGATCAAAGTCCAGCTCTTATGATGTCTTAGCTATTCTTTACTGTTGCAGCATGCTGCCTCAATTAAGACTAACATAATCCTTCTGGGTTCTTAGTTTTTAAACAAATAATATATCCTAATAAAGTCAAGCAATACAGTAATTACATTTTTAATAAATGTTTCTGTCTTTCCTAAAGTGAACAGATGGATGGACTAGGGCCTCACCACGCCCAGATGTGGTCACTGAACCAGTAACGTGGCATCATTTGGGCGCTTGTGAGCCATGAAGAACTTCAGAGTCCTCCCAGACTTCTCAAAGTGGTATCTGTGTTTCCCACCAGATGACTTCCCAGAGCACTCTCTTTGCTAAGGTTTCTATGGGAGCCCAAGCTAACCCCAACTCCTACTGTAGAGACATGGTGACAGCTCAACCCTCAGCCTCCAAAGGCATGCTCTATTCAATTTACTTCCCAGAGGGAAAGAACAAGCAATAACCGAACACAGTAACGGGAGGAGGAGCTATCAACAGAAACAGTGACATTTGAAATCGTGATAACCACTAACTTCCAAAGCCCCTGTCCAGCATCCAAGTCAGACAATCTGCATGCTTTATCCTATGTAATCCTCAAAATAACCCTTGGAAGTTGGTAGCATTGTCTCTGTTTACCATTGGAAAAATAGAAGTTCAGAGAGAATGAGACTTGCTCAGCTTCCCAGCCCATGGTAGAAAAAGACTGAAGCAAGCGTGGAACACTGGGTGGGGACCGCCTGTGCACAAGAGTGCTGGGGCAGTTCAGGGGCATCTGCCCAAAGCCAACTGCAGAACCCCTGCCTCGTCAGGGTCCCATCTCCTCCCCAGGCCTGGTTGGTCCCAAACCGCTCAGCAGCTAAGGAACCCTCCACTCCACACATTTTCCTGCGGTGTCAGCCTGAGGCCTGGGTTTCAAGTTACAGCCCAAGCTGGATGCCTGTAGAAAAAATACAGAAAGAAGAAAAGTGAAGGCCTCCCATTCCTCCCTCATTTGTGCTGACCACAGACCTGCCGCAGTGCGGCTGAGGTTTCTACGTGCTCTTGGCCT